ATTCTATTTCTCTTTCATTCTTTGGTGTTGATGGCAATCAATTTTTACAAGTTTCGCTCCTTTTCAGAACGATTTACACAGCTTGATCAGTTCAATATATATTACTTTTCTTGTATTTTTCTTGTATTTTTCTTAAATGAAATTGGAAAAATTCTCAGATTGCTGAGTCAAATTAAAATTAAAGAACTTAAATAATTTAAATTTAAATAAATTAATAAATTTTTTTCAAGTTCGCTGTTTCCTTTTCAGAGCAAATCGATTGGTGACGCAGTGTACGGAACGCTTTGGTATGACATGACGCCTGCCGAGTGTCGAATTTTATTATTTGTGATATTAAGATCGCAAAAGAGATTGACGATCACAGCCGGAAACGTCATGGATCTTTCTCTGGAAGGATTTACGAGCGTAAGAATTTCGCCATGAATATCCACTGTAACGAGATAAAACGTCCAGATGCTTAATGTTTTTTAAGAGTAGAGAACGTACGCGGTCTGTTACGTGAATAATATTTTTCCTTTTATTTTGATTAGGTGATGAAAGCATCCGCTTCGTATATGTCGGTGCTGCATGCTATGTCTTGAAGGCCGTGAATAGTTGAAGAGACAGTATCCTCCGTGTGTATATGTAGCTATTATGTCATAAGAAATGAGACATCTCGCGTATTCTAGTAAAACATTGGCATTCCACGAACATGAATGCTCGCATGTAATTACGTTAATATATTTCATTGGAATTAATGGACACTACGTTTTTTTTTAAATAAATGTCCTGCTCGATTCGCTAAGATATTCTTCCCTCATCATCACAAACTTTTATCTTCGCTTTCGATTTATCTTTCTAAATTTATCTTTTATTGTTCCCACTCTTTATTTCTTTCTGCTATTTGAAAATTTTAAATATTCCACGCACGCATTTGTATTCAACTTACGTACGTTTGCATTTTTTAATGCAAATAACGGACAGCGACCGAGCAATGCGTATACAAAGGTGCATTGGACGCCTTCGTAGCTGCGTCTGTCCATATTTTTTTATAACTGACAATGATAATTGTCGAGGCATCGTTTTATAGTTTTTACTCTTAACTTCTAAGAAAAGAATACAACGGGAATCATGAATAATTACTATCTTATGCACACGGCAAAGTGGGGATTAACTGAGCACGGAATCCATAGAATTTTGTAGTCACATTGAAACTCCTCGACCGACGATATCCGAGTATTGAATTAAGACTATTGATTATGTCACAGTCAGTTTCGAAGTCTTCTTTTTTTTAATCTTATTTACTAATTACATCG